TGCCTCTCCACCCCATAGTTCCAAATCCCTATATGCTTTTTAGCCCAAATACCCCCAGAGACTGCTTACTACTCTGTCCTGGATTTAAAGGATGCCTTCTTTTGCATTCCCTCACACCCTAAAAGTCAACCTATATTTGCCTTTGAGGACCCCACGAGAAAGTCTGGACAGGTCACTTGGACTGTCCTCCCGCAGGGATTCAGAGACATCCCCCACCTCTTAGGGTTAACTCTAACTCAAGACTTGACAGAGTGGTAATATCCACAAGCTACTCTGCTACAATACATAGATGACCTCCTGCTCTGTGGATCAAGTAAGCCTGTTATTTCACAAGCCACTGAATCCATACTAAACTTCTTAGCAGACAGAGGTTATAAAATCTCTAAAGAAAAAGCCCAATTGTGTCAGTCTAGTGTTACATATTTATGTCTTGTCCTGGAGAAAGAAATGAGGTCTCTAGGAGAAGATAGAATCCGTCCAATCCTGACATTTCCTCTACCTAAAAATCTAAAGCAATTGAGGGCCTTTTTGGGGGTCACAGGATACTGTAGAATTTGGATCCTGGGATATGCAGACCTAGCCAGGCCCTTGTAGCAAATCCTTAAGGAAGCACAGAAGGATACCCAGCCCTTTATTGAGTGGGATGACAAGTCAGAAAATGCATTCCACAGGTTAAAGAAGGCTCTTATGACAGCTCCCTCCCTGGGTCTCCCAGTACAAGACAAGTTTCAATTATATGTCTATGAAAAGGGAGGATTGGCCTTGGGAGTGGTGACTCAGCTCCAGGGCATCACTCCCCAGGCAGTAGGTTACTTAAGCAAAGAATTAGATGAGGTAGCCAAGGGAAGGCCAGGATGCCTTAGAGCAATGGCCGCAGTAAACCTTCTAGTGCCTGAAGCTCAAAAACTTATCCTGAACCACCCCTAACGGTTTATACCCCATACAACCTGGGAGGAATTTTAAACTCAAAAGGAGAACTTTGGCTATCTGACAGCCACCTACTTAAATACCAGGCCCAGCTTCTGGGAGGGACAGAAATAACTTTAAGGACCTGTCAGAGCCTAAATCCTGCACTCCTTTTACCAGAGGCAGAGGGAAATCCTGAGCACTCGTGTGAGGAGGTACTTATGGAAAATTATGCTGCCCAACCTGACTTAACTGATGGGCCCTTAAAAAACCCAGATCTAGAATTATACACTAATAGCAGTTCCTTTGTCAAGAATGGTGTCAGACATGCAGGGTTTGCAGTTGTGACAGAATTTGACATCCTGAAATCAGGTCCTCTTCCTCCTAATATAAGTGCTCAATTGGCAGAATTAATGACCCTAACAGAAGCCCTAAGACTGTCAAAAGAACAGAGAGTAAACATCTACACAGATTCTAAGTATGCCTTCCTGATCCTGCATGCTCATGCAGCCATCTGGAAGAAAAGGAGAATACTAACTACAACAGGAACAGATTCCCATAAAGATCAAAGAGAGGTTACTTTAATAGTTTATGGATAACAGCATTAGTTGCAGCCCTTGCTTGAATCAGCTATGGGGTGATTGCCAATCATGTAACTGCAAAAAACCTAACCAAAGTAGTAGAGGACACCTCAGACCAGGTAGGCCTAGCCATTAAGAACATGCAAAGGTCTTTGTCGTCCCTTGCCTGTATGGTAATGTACCACCGCCTGGCCCTAGATTTTCTTTTGGCCAAACAAGGGTGGGGTGGGGGGGTATGTGCCATCGACAATACTCCTGTGCATATATATAAACACTTCAGGCATTGTAGAGGAATGTGCAGATTACATTCTCCAATAGGCTAAGTGTCTCGGGGAGCAATCTCTTGAAACTCAGGCTTCTGTACAGGTATGGGACCAAATAAAATCCTGGCTTCCCTCCAGGACTTGGGTCCTACCCTTTCTGGGGCCTATAGTTGCCATTATTCTCTTGCTTGTGTTTGGGCCTTGCATTTTAAACTTACTTGTCAAGTTTGTTTCTTCTCACCTAGAATCCATTAAACTACAAATGCCTCTGATGGAGATGAAAACGACCTACTACAGAGGTCCCCTTGACAACCCCTCTCATGGTCAGCCCTGATGCTGCAGAGCCCCTTCATCACCCCCTGTCAGCAGGAAGCAGTTACTGAATAGACTTTGTTGTCCCTATCCCTAACAACAGTTAGGGTGAGAGAGGGAGGAATGAACTGCAGGAGGTCCCAAAAGGTGATAAGTGGTCAAGGAGATACCTCTCCTCCCTAGGGAATGTCCCTCTGCATCTGAAAGGCATCTCTGCCCTCAGGCAATACAAAAAAGGCTATAAAACCCCACTCCCCACCTTGATCCACAGGATCACCGGTTTCCTGGTCCCCCTGCATTCTCCACTATGCAGTCTTTCTCTTCTCTACAAATAAAATCTTTCTGACCACTGCTGTTGGAGTCCACCTGTGCTTTCATTCCCAGAGCGGGCTCAAGAACCCTGAGCACCTGAAATTCCTGCACGTGTCGTCTGTGCATCAGTAGGATCCCAGGGAAGAATTCAAAATGGAGCGATTAGATGGACCTCAACAAATTGACAAAATGTTAGTCTCAGCGGGAGAATGCTCTGCTAGGCTAAGAAATAGCACATGCAATGGGAAACTCAAAATCAGGAGGTATGAAATAATCAACTAGAAGTATGGACACTGAGAAATGACTAGAAAAATGAAGCATGACTGGCAGGTACCACTGAAGGCCTTCTTATGTTTGACAGTTATGAATTTAAGACAAGCCAAGTCATCGTAGTTGTATTATTCTCTTATCATGTTTAGCTGTTTGGATGGTAGGTGGTGTATACCAAACATCAAGTTTAGCCAAACAAGTATGGAAAGGCAACAAAGGAGTTGAGTATGGCTAGTAGGGTGGAATGATAATGTTAGATTATGAAATTTAAACCAGGTGGGCTGGGAAGTAAAGACAAAGCAGATGAATGGAAAGCCCTGTAGAGTCAAAGAACTTCTGGCATTGAAGTAGCAGAGTGAATGAGATGAGAAGGTAAGAGATAGTTTTGGAAAGCAGGATGCTTGACACTGAGATTTCAGGGTTGCAGTTATTAACAATGTCTGCTAATATGACCATAGATGTCAGTGGTGTGAGGTAGATCATAAAATAACTAAAGTTCATAGAATTGTGAGAATCAACTAGTCAGGTCTTTTCTGTCAAAGGAGTTTATGTATAATTAGCATTGTGTAGATGCCAGCCAACCTCCCTGAATTTCTGCCTACGTGCTTTGTGAAATGTTGCTTGACCCTGCAAAGTTCTTGCAGTCAAACAAAAAGCTGTTTATCATCAGATGTCCTAATTTCAGACTGCTTTCTTACCATCTTAAGTTTCATTCCTTTGAGTATGTCAACTTCTCCTCTAACCACATTAGGGAAAATGTCAGCCCCCATCTCCTATCAAGAAGACCTTGAGAAATCACTCTCTCACTGAGCTGTAAACCATAAGTAATCACTCTCTCATTGAATTGTAAAATGTCACTGCTTCAAAAATTTTGCTCTTATTTTAAACAATAGCTAGTCACTAGCTGTGGAGTGTTATGATCATATAAGAAATATAACCTGTAAGGACTTCCCACCCAGGTGTGCTCTATCAGACTATGGTCTGTGGCTGCACCTTTCTACAGAAATAAAACTTTTCTTTTTGTCTTACTAAGTGACTCCCAAGTGTTTCTTTGATCACCATTTGCAAATAGCACTTTTAACAAAATGAGAGGTGAAATGGCAGAAAATGTTGGTGGTCTACTTAAATATTCATTCTCTTTCTCCTTAATAACAAAACCTTGATTTTAAACTTGACACAATGTCTCTGTATAAAGGCATTTCTTAGCTTCCCTGATAGCTAGATAGATATTTGTGACTAAATTCTTCCAGTGAGGTCTAAGTGGAAATGTTATAAAGAACTTCTGTTAAATCTCCTTGAAAGAAAAGGGGTGCACACTGCCTACATTTCTCATTTCTTGGGACAGTGTCCATTGAATGGCTGGGGCTCCAGTTGGCACCTTGGACCATGAAGCAGCTCAGGATAGTAAAGCAGAAAAAGCACCTGTGGAGCTATTATCTCAGGACTGTATCTCCAGGCTTTTTTATAGGAGAGAAATAAACTTCAATTTCTGTAAGCCATTGTGATCTGGACTTTCATGTTACAAGGAGCTGGACCTAACCCTAACATACATTGGAGTGGCGACTTTATTTCCTACATGGATGTTACAATCGTCTGCACGTGCAGTTATGTCCATAGAGAGAATCATTGAGGTTAGTACTAAAATCTCCAGTGGATGAAGAGGTACACAGGTCTCTTGAAGAGGTACTACAAGAGGTGGTACATGCTTCAAAGGGGCCTGGCAGTTTGTGAAACCAGAGCAACAGCAGTGAGGATCTAAGGCAGCATGAGGGTCAAGGGAGACATTTGCCCCACTTGCTTTCTTGTGTTAAGATGTTGACTTTTTAAGACTTCTGTTTGAGGAAATGAGTTATAGACAAGCACTGTGTCTGTAACCACAATAAAACATTGGAGATATGCTGAATGTGATCAATGATCTATTTCAGAATATTTGCTGGAAGCACGTGTGCTCCAGAGGCATTATAAAATGTTAAGCACCTTTTCCACATTTTATAAAAGCATTATTCACTATGAGATTTAACCTTTTAGAAAACTCACTCCTGGCCTTCTGGAGTGGCTGAAGTAGAACAGTGCCTGCCTAGGAACCAAAGGCCCTGAGTTCAAACCACAGTACCTAAAAAAATGAGAAAAAAAAGACACCTCACTCATATTTTTTACTTCCCACATTAAATGTATTAATTCAATTTATTTATTGAGGTCTTTTATTATGTTCCAGATACCACATTAGGCACTAGATTAATTACAAAGGAGCTGCCTCAAGGGGGCTTACTAGTTCAAAGAGGAAACATGTGAGAGAATCAATTATTTTAATGCAGTATGGTAAAGATATTCATCAAATACAATTGAAGAAAACACTTTGTGTAATGAGAGCACAAAGGAAGGCCACCTATTTCATATTTACTATCAGGATGCACTTCCTGGAAGAGATAGCTGATGCACTGAAACTTGAAGATGATCTTACTCAGCTGGCAAAAAGAGAATACAACACAAGAATGCTTGCAGAAATAAGGAAATACATGGCATGTTGGGAAATTGATAAGCAACAACAAGCATTTTTAAAGCATGTACCGTATGTCAAGAACTCTACTCAGGACATAGAAAGATGACTAAAAGTGTATCTGAACTCACAGTCTAGGAACTATTGGACAGAAAAAGTGGTGGGTCGAGAGAGGAAGGGAGATGAGTCAATACAAACAAAAAACAGATTTCCCTGTGGGAAAAAGAAAAGAGGATTATGTTCTTGAAGAGAAATAGAAGTACATTTCTGGGCAATATAAAGTTGACTGTTCAATCTTGTTATCATCTGAAGGCATCTCCAGCGAAAGCCAGGGCATTGACAATCTGACAACTAAAAATAAGCCATAATTAGAGCCAAGAACCCCACAGCTAGTAGGAACCTGCCCATTGTCATCACTGAAGCCATGGAGTTACTCTTTTCGACTTCTCTTGTCATCAAAGGCTTTCGGATACGATCTTCTGCGGAAAAGATAGTTTCTCGAGCCCCTTCCCACTTTCCAGGGCCCTGTAGACGATAATGAGCTGGAGTACAAGGTCCCACCAAAAGCTCTAGGGCCAGCTTGGGGTCAGTAAAGGCCAGCGACAGTAGATTGGGCCTGACGCCCACCAACTCAGCAATCTCTTCCATGGTAGCTACATAGTCTCCCTGAATGGTATGGCGTTGGCTCTCCACATACCTAAAGCAGAGAAGAGAGAAGCCGTGGAATATCAACAACAGTTCAGTCAGTCATCTCAGCAGTCAATCAATGCACTCTCAGAATCAGTCAGCCAACAAATCAATTATTCAATGCTTTCTGAGTACCTGCTTATTGACTTGATACTGGGCTAGGAACTATGGAAAACAAAGATTACAAGACATTTGTCCTCCACCTTAAGGACCTTATAATGTGCTGGAGGAGATGAGACAGATACAGATGAAACAGAGGATATATGGCTTCTGGTAAATATTGTGGGGTTTGACGGCTAAATAAAATGTAGAGAGAGGGAAATTAAAAGAGGGCAGTACTAGGTCCTTGAAACATGTGAAAGGTACAGATAAGATGAGAAAAATGAAGATTACTACAAATCAGGTCAACAGCAGAGTGAAGGAATAAGGCAGAAATGGGCATAAATTATAAGCAATAGAATATTAATGGTGTCGCCTACAGTAGTGGAAAACAGGGATGGATAGAGAGTGGACAGCCAGCAGAGCCCGAAGCAGAGGACTCTGATTTTAGAGAGAGAACTCACCACAAAATTTCTCAAGCAGGGAATCCTCGATTATTTTATGAGGGCATGCTAAGGGATGCACAGAACAGGGCTTCCCAGGGCCAGTGTTAATTTAGAATCCTGAAAGGCTAGAGAGGGAATCTTATCCCACAAGAATAAGTGACCTTACAGGTGGAGCCAGATGAAATGGTTCTATCAAGGGCAGATTACAAGAGCTGAAAAAGCCTTTTTGGGGGGAAATTTGCTTAACAGGGATATCTGTGTGGAAGGAATGAGATCTGGAGAGCTAATGACAGACTTTCACATTTTGTTTTGTTTTATTTTAGTGGTAGTGGGTTTGAACTCAGGGCTTCAGCTTGTGAGGCCGGTGCTCTACAGCATGAGCATGCCTCCAATTACTTTCTATAATTAAAATAAAAGAAAGAAAAATGGGACAGAAAGGAAGTAAGAGAAAAGTCAAGCCAAGATAATTGAGATTGAAGAAGCAAGAAAGGACAGGGAAAAGTGAAGAAAATAAATTTGAGGTATAGTTGTTGAAATAGAATTCCAGAGGAACTAATAAGTTGTTGAGTAGTCATTTACTGAAATGGGACCAGAGTTTAGAGCAGAAAATAAGACAGGAAATAATTTGAGAGCTTTCCTTTCTGTAGTTTATGTTGGCTCAAGGGATTATAGCCATGCATTTCTTTGTTCTACAATAGTAGATCAAGAACTGTAGTAATCATAAAGGTTTCATGAAAAGAGGTTCACTAGATGGGCATGGTAGTACATGTCTTTAATTCCAGTCACTTGGAAGGTAGAGATAGGAGGATCATAGTCTATGGCCAATTGGGGAACAAGCAAACAATCCTCACTGAACAATAAACTAAAGCAAAAAGGGCTCGGAGTGTGCCTTAAGTGGTACAGTCTACCAAGCACAAGTCCCTGAGTTAAAACCCCAGTACCACTAATAAAAGAGAAGCAGAGGTCAGTCTTGCCTTGCAGTGTTGTCATGAGCATTAAAAAAACTCCATGCATGTGGAACATTGGATGTGTGCACACATTTGTCCCTCAAATGAAGTTAAATTATATCCCTAAATCCTGTTCACATTCATAAGGAGGTTAGACAAAACAAGTCAAAAAAAAAAAAAAAAAAAAAAGAGGCCAGGGAAATTGAAATTAGTTCATTTTTTACCACAAAAGAAGAGAAAGAAAGCACTCCAAGTAGGAAGTATTTACAAGTGCCAGCCTCTTTAGTGCATGGAAGAAAGCAGAAGTTTGTCTGGATGACCTTCAAGAGAGCAGCTTCAGAAGCAAGGAGGAGAGTTACAATGCAGGGTCTCAGGAGGAGCACGGGATGTAGAAACTTTACTGCAAGAACTTGGCAGTGAAAATAGCAGAGCCCCTGGTAAGGGTCACAGGGTTAAATAAACCTTATTTTACGTCCTCTGAGGTACAGTTGTCCCAGTTCAATCCCTTCCTCTGGCAGCCCTACAAGCACTTCAAGTAATCCTCCCCAAATAATATACCTTATGTTCTCTCCCTGTCCTTTTTCCCACTCAACTTTTCTTTTAGGCCTTAAGCCTAGTTTTTAAACAATTTTCTTAATCTTTTCTTCCCCATTCACAGGGAATAGCTCTTCATTCTATTATCACAAGATACTATTCCCTTTTCTATCAAACTGTCCTCAAAATCCTTAAAGTAAAATGGGAAAACAATATGTAGTGCACAATACTGTTCTCATTAAGATACACAGAGGAAAAGGCAATTCTGCATTTTTCTGGGACAAGTTCTGACCTTTTCGCCATTTCCTCTTGAGTCTTAATTACTTCTGTCATCATTTCACTTTGTGAGGGCAATTTCTTTAGACCTAAAGAGAATAATAATAATAAATAATAAATAAAATAATAGTTATAAATAATAATAAAATTAAAATAAAATAATTTTTTAAAATAATAAAAATAAATAAATAAATAAAAATAATAATATGTGTAAAATTACCTCAGGAGGAATAATAATCCTATTAATAATTACTACACTATGAAGAGTTGAAAGAATTATAGGATAGTTTTCTGTATTTAGGAGATTTTAATTCATTGGAGCACCCTATCCTATTACTAACAAAATATGATACAAGATGAGTCTCCCTTATGTGAACATCAGAAACTTGAAATCCTCTAAAATCCTTTGAACATTGATGAAATGCAACAAATCAGAAAATTCTGCACCTGACTTCATGTAATAAGTCATAGTCAAAATGAAGGCACACTAAAATCATTACTTTCAGGCTATGTTTAAAGGTATATATGAAAAATAAATTAATTTCATGTTTAACAGTGGGTCCCATTCTAACCATATCTCACTAGGTATGTACAAATAGTCAAAAATCTGAAATCTGAAACACTTCTAGTCCTGAGTATTTCAGAATAAGGGGTACTCACTTTCATTAATGTCTAACCATATTCTGCTTTGTCTTTGAAAGATACTTGTCTGCTTTCTAACAAACCAAGCCTACTCCCTAACATAGTCTTCCATTTGCCAAACAAAATAAACAAAATAATTACATGAGGACAGGATAAATGATCTTAAATGTATATGAAAAAATAGGAACTGGGATGTAGCTCACTGGTAGAGTACTTGCCTACCATGCACAACACCCTGGGTTCAATCTACAGCACCAAAAAAGAAGAAAAAAAGCGTATGTGAAAACTGAGGCACAATCAAAGGGCAGGGCGGTAGGACACATACCTTCCCTGGTATCTTGATAACAAAGAGTGTTCTTTTGTTTGCTTTGATTTTTTTTGTAACCACGCAGAGAGAAAGAAATAAAAACAAACTCTAAATCACATTTTTGTACTTAAATCCTATGGAAGATAAGTCTCACATTCTAAACTCAGAATAACCAATTTGCCAGGTAAATTTAAGCACTGATGTATAAATAGTTCCAATAGTAGGAATTTCATGCAAAGGACACAACTAGACAAACACAGGATAGTATGTAAGTCAAAATAAACAGCTCTATCTCAAACAACTAGCCTTCTATCCAGATGTGTAGGCACTGTTTCTGAATCCACAGTTGGATTTTAATACTTGACTGGCCTTGACACATGAAAACAACTGCGACAACTACACAAAGTCTTATTATCAGGCTAAACATAAGTTCCCATATGTCAGGTTTCATGGTCTCTGCCACCTCAGTTGCCCTTTTCTGGGCACACTCCACTGACTATTCTAGTATGTCCTCTGAAAACAGGATTCAGAAGTTTGACACTCAGAAAGAAGCTTCTATATTTCCCCATGTGTCTTCTCATTTTAATCAGGGGAATGATTATTTGTTCATAAACTGCTGGCAAGGTGGTTCAAATGGTAGAGAAAGGTTTTGATCTATCAACTCTAGACCATTGCCTGTTTTATCCTTTGCTACAATGAAGGTCTTCACTGGAAAAGAGAAAATTTTAATTCCAACAAAAATTCTGAATAGTTTTAAACATTAGTAATGAGAGCAAAATTTATTATACCAATCATAGAATCAAAGAATTTCTTCTTTAGAAGGAATCTAAAAGGTCATGGTTCCTCTGTTCTGAAGCTTGAATCTACTCCATATCCTCTGGTTAAATGGCCAGCCAGTAACTTGGTATCCTTTTTCTATTTTGCCTGGATTACTTACAATTTCAGAAGCATCCGGTTCTATCTTGAAATGACACTGGCTGATAGGAAGAACTGGTGGGGCTTTTTTTCTTTAATTTAAGCTGATATTATGCAACCCTTAAGATTTCATTCTTTGGTTCTGGTTTGACCCTTTGAGGCTATACTAAGAAAATCTAATTCTTCCATAGGCCATTCCTTCAAATATTTAAAGGGAAAGCTCATATCTCTCCCAAGTCTTAACTTTTCCAATTTGTTAGTACTTTAAATGCTATGTTTTCAGATCCCTTAAGCTATTGTTATCTGTCTCCCCTATTCATTGCATTCTAGCTTCACTTTTTAAATGTGTCTTCAGGACTGAACAGTGGTAGCTCACCCCTATAATCCAACTCTCCAGAGATGGTGATCGTGGGGATTGGGGTTTGAGGCCAGTTGGGGTAAAAAAAACTTGAGACCCCATCTCAGTCAATAAAAAGCTAGGCATGATGGTGCATACCTATCACCCCAGCTATGGTGGAAAGAATAGGAAGGTCATGGTCTAGGCTAGCTCAGACAAAAAGGGAGACTTGGTATTAAAAATAAGAGTAGAAAGGACTGGAGTAGAGTGCCTGCTTTGCAAGTGCAAGATCCAAAGTTCAAACCCCAGTCTTTCCAAATTAAAAAAAATGTCTTCAGGTATCTGGTATGATTAGTTCAGAGAAGAACAAGTATTATATTCTAAGACATTGCCATTTTAATGATGCTAGATTTAATTAAGCCTACTGACTCATATTGAATCCAGTATTTTAAAACACAAAATTTTTTCTTCTGCACTCCTAGCCTAAAAAGGGGACATAAAGAGGGGCTGGGAGGGAGAACTTGAGAGACTGAATATTCTACATTCTGGGATAGTCTCCTATCAGGCCTTAAATTTTAAGTCATGTCTTAAGATTTGACTTTATCTATAATGATAGATGAAATTGCTTTCTTTCACAAATATATACCAATTGTTTAGTATCTAGGCAAGTGCATCCTAATGTGGAATGCACTTTGGAGTTATGAAGGAACATTTGTCTCAAAGAGCTTATTACCATGCCCAGTTTGAAAAAAATTTCCCAGGTGATTTTGATGTACATCTATGGCTATAAATTACTACTTTAGATTTCCTTAAAAGTCAATTTTCCAGTACCAACTTTGAGCTGGGCACTATTAAACTCATAGGCATTGTCACTAGCTGATGAAAAGTGCTTTAACATAATTAAATGTATCACCAAGTGATTAAGTAGTTGATTTGTATTGCCACTTACCTTTAAATACTTGAGCAGCCCAGCGTCCTTGGAGCTCTGCAATGGGCATAATGGCTCCCAAGGGCTGAATCAAGCCTATGATTGCCAAAGTTGGTTTTTCCAGGTTAAGAGGGAAGACCTTTTTATATAGGGATACCTTGTTTTTGACCACTTTGACAGAATCATCTTCAAGAAAAGGAAAGGAAAAGCTATAGCCTGTGGCAAAGACAACAGCGTCAATGTCTTCCTCTCTGGAGCCGTCCTCAAATATGGCAGCTGTCTCTGTGAATTCCTTCACATTTCCTTTCACTTTCACCAAACCAGAAATTATACGATTTGGCAATTCATCATTTACTGTGGGATGCTGACTCAGAGCTCTAAGTGGTAATAAAGATGAATTTTGAGAGTAAGCAAGAGAGAGAAAGAGGGAGATGGAGAGAGAAAAAAAGAAATCAGTACCATGTCAGCAAAATTCTGCTTTCGTGGAGTTGATCAAACAATATACCCGTGATTTCCCCCATAGTAAACCCGTGGAATTTGGGAAAGATTACTTTAACCAACTTGGCACAAATCAGAATCTCAGGGCAGAAATTGGACCTGGAATGGCATTACAAGGGGAGGGTATTAGAAGAGAGAAAAAAGAAGAGTTTTATTTGAGGCGTGCCTATGTGGTTTCTCAAGTATCAGTGATTTTGATACAGGTATAGCCAACAGTTTTAATCCTCATATCAAGAACTTTGGCAGAATTAGACTATTAACATTGTTCAGAACCATTTCTTGTTCCAAAGGTTCAAGAGGCAGACTGAGACCATGGTTTTCCAAATTGCATAATTAATTACAAATGCACACAGTTATTGCTCTTCCATGGATTCACTTATATAAAGCTCACACAAACTCTATGAAAAAAAGGAGGCCAAGTGTTATTATCCAGGTTTTACAGGTGAGGAAACAAAAGTTAGGAAATTAAGTGATTTAACCCATATTGCACCTTCTAGGACTTTAGAGTTTCTATCAAAATAATTTTTATGAACTCCCTCGAAATATTTTTGACCTGTGAAGTAGTGTTTCCTAGCAGTAGCATAAGATAGGGCTGCCTAAATAAATAAATAAATAAACAAACAAATAAATCCATATTTCTAATTTCTCTAGTCTTTATAAAAAATGGTCTCACTTCCTAACTCTTAACTTCAGATTCTGAGAATCCTAATCTCATTATGTTCAAGCAAATTGCCTCACTTCAGGAATATTATATGTTTAACCAGTTTCCTGGTTGATGCATTTCATTTGCATTGACTCTAACCTTTAGGTAGATTCTGTTTTGCAGAATTACCTCATAATTTTATCTTTCTCTTCAAACCTGTTCCTTTCCCTCTTTCCCCAAACCAGTGCCACTATCCACATAGTTGCCCAGGCCTCAAAACTACGAGCCTCATACCTGCTCACCAAGCCTTTTCCTTTTCCCTCATAGCTTTCCCCAGTAGTTTTATCGGCCCCCTGTGTTACCTGACCTATTACAGTTGTCTTCAGAGCCCCTTCTCGTCCCCTTTCCACACCATTTACAGAATGGTCATTATAAAACATATATATATTATTACATCACTCACTTGCTTAAGTGAGGCTTTTACTGTCCTCATTTCCAACTTATATTTAGCAGCGTATACAAAGGTTGTTATGCCTGATGAGCCTAAAGATGTATTAACTAACCATTCTTCCACCTTTGCTACATAGGTTAGACTATTTGACATCCCACGGCATAATATGTTTTTGCTATTCCAAGACTTTGCACTTGTAATTAGACTGCTACAGCCCAACCCTAGTTATCTGATTATATTTTGTCTTGCATAAAAATCTCAACTTATTTCGCAACCACAAAAGATATGTATGCTAAAATAACTGTGTGAAAGGATGTTGGGGAACACAGTATCCAAGTATAACCCCACCAATTAATTTTAAAAGGAAAATATCTATAACAACCAAATTAAGCATCACTAAGCATCATTAATGTAGAATAAGCTGACATCATGTAGTTTGTAGTGTGATTCACCAAGAATCACTTATGTAGTATTATATTTCCAAAAATATTTAACTTAAATATAATAAACAAAAATCAGCATGTAAGTAGAAATTTAGGCACAGTCTGCAAAGCAATGCCTTGAATTATTAAACAAAAGTAAATAGTTCCATATTTTAAAAAGAATAGAGAATTATTATTTTAGATTAAGGGTGACTATAAAGACAAAATAAGCAAATGTCATGCTGCAAGTGGTTACCTCCCAGGCTCCTGGATTGAGAAAAGAAAAAAAATGGTATAAAGAATATTTTGGGGGCCGTGGCACACATCTGTAATCTCAGCTACTCTGGAGGTGGAGATCTGAAGGATTACTACTCAAGGCCAGTCCAGGCAAAAAGTTAGTGAGACCACATCTCAATCAACAAGCCAGACAGCGTGGTGGAAGCCTATCATCCCAGTTACACGGGAGGCTGACAGTAGGAAGATCACTAAGAGGATCGCTGTCCAATGCCAGCCTGAGCAAAACCAACGGAAGTTTAAAAAAGTCTGGGGGGTGTCATTCAAGTGGTAGAACACCTACCTAGCAAGTGTGAGGATTGAGTTCAAACCTCAGGACTGTCAAAAAAATAGGGGAGCAACTGTGGAAATTTGAATATGCCAATATTTTGGATAATGTATGTTTGCTATGTTAAATTTCCCAAGGGTGATAACTGCATTATGGTTCTATATGAGATTGCCCTTTCACTTAGGTGATAGGTACTGAGCTATTTAGAGTAATGACTTAAAGATTACAGCTTACTTTTAAATGGTTCAAAAATGCATTTAGGTATGCATGCTGCTATACACGTGTGGATCTGTCTCTTTCAAAAGGGGAGAGAAGACAGAAAGCATAGCAAGCTGTTGTAATAATCCAGAGGAGAGATAAATGTATGTATTATCATACAACATTTCTGTAGATCAGAATGTTTTCCAAAAAATTACAAGTTGGATAAAAATAAGCAATTGAAATCAGCTTCTACAAATGCTCTCACAGTCTACATCCCTGTTATTTGAGGAGCCCATTGGATATGTTCTCACTGTACTCTGTATTTCTTCATCATATTCTGCTGCCTTTCTTCTCTTAGTGAATGGAAAGTAATATCCATCTCTAGAGTCTGCCATTTATGACTGTGTTCAACTTAGGCAAAAACCTTATTTTATCTAACACTCAAATTTTTCCTCTGGAAAATGGACATAAAATAGTACCAACTTATAGAACTGTTGAGAGGATTACATGAGTTAGTACATAGAACTCATTTAGCACTGTGCTTGTCCTCTAGAAAGTCAAGGCAGGGAGAGGATAAGAGGAGATGAGAAGTACCACACTTCTAGGCCAGCCCGAGCAAAAAGTTGGTGAGACCTCCCCTGACCATCTCAGCCAATAAGGAGCTGATGCTGTAGCTTGCCTGTCACCCCAGGAAGGTGGGAGGAGAATCGCCATTTAGGCTGGCCCAAGCATAAATCCCAGACCCTATCTCAAAAATAATCAAATCAGAAAGGGTTTAGGGTATGGCTCAAAAAAAGTAAGATCTGGAAAAGGTAATCAGTTTCTAATGGTATTATTATTACTACTATGTGTTTTCTCTCTAAGTTTAAGGCCTAGTATAATACATGGCTCATAACAGGTGTCCTCTGGTTGTTGAATGAGTTAATGAATGATGCACTGCTCTCTATTCCTATTTTGTTGCTGTTGTTGGGCACCATGTATCAAAAGAAAATGACCAATGCAGAGGAGGATGATAAACTTGGTCTTCTGTAGTTGACAAGGTAGAAATATGATTTCAGGTTGTATGAGTTTTATTTTTTGGTTTTTTATCAGTACTGTGATTTGAACTCAGGCCCTTACCATTTCAGCCACACCCATAGCCCTTTTTGCCTTAGTTGTTTTTCTAGTAGGGTCACATTTTTGCCCAGGCTCAGGCTGTAATCCACCTAGTTATATGTACCACACAGCTGGGATCACAGGCACACACCACCATGGACCCATCTTATTGGTTGGGATGGGGTCTTGTTAGCTTTTTTGTCCACTCTAACCTTGAACTGCAGTTCTCTCAATCTCAGTGCCCCTGGCTCTATGGGTTTTTAGGGTAGAGACAGCTCTACTCTTAATTAGCCTGTGTGAACAGTCATTATTCTTGTGCCTCTGCTAACCCTGACCCCACTCCCATTTTGAGAACGTACCTGTGTTTAGGCTTCAGGCCAAACATTTCATGGTCAAACCTTTGGTTCAGCCGTCTTTCCATAAATGTATTTGCTAATGACTGACCACATATCTTTGACAAAAAATAGTACAATCGAGAAGAGACCTGCATATCAAAAGGGTATCCATGGTTCCCCACACGATTCAGGATCCAAGCCCCTCTCCTGGTGCTGAGGAATACCTGGGGCACAAGAAACATTGTTTGCTTTTGTCATTCTGTCTCACAGTCCTCCCAAATCACACTTTCTTCAAGGATTAAGCTTAAACTCCTTAGTCTTTTTAGTCCTGCACAATTCTGAAAAGAATGTCCCAGGATTTTCTTTGCCAAACACTAAGCTTACAATTAAAATGTTATCTTCACTGTCCAAGAATATGTCTCACTGTGACCCCCATCTGAATTTCTGTTCAGTGCCATTGATCTTCTTAATTCCCCTAAGCCCATATACATTTTTAAGGTCCAGATCAAGTCTGCCTCCTCCACAAGGTCAGCATTGACCTTTTAGGATGATAATTTTATTTCCATCCTCTGAACTTCTCTCACACTTGCCACCCACAGAACTCATTAAAAACCATGACATGGTAAAGTAAAAGCAACTGGAGATCATTTAATCCAAAAGACTCAGTCTTTTGCCATTGGCATTGTTTACAATATACATAATTTATCATCAATAACAATTTATTTATACATATCACTTATATATCATAAATATATGCTTTATATATTAATAAACTCTGAGTTCCTGTCTCTCCATAGTGGAAAAACATCTTTTAGTCTCCCCAGCATACCTCCTCACTTCCACTTATGGAGTTTTGTGACTTGTAAGTCACTGTGGTGGGTCCTTTCTATTCTTATTCAACCACAACAATAATCGCTTGAGGAAGCCACTGTTGACCCTATTTTATGGGTAAGAGGCATGAAAAGATGAGTCATATGGCCTAAGATCACATAGCTAGTAAGGGACAGCCACATCCAAGTGACTCCACAGCCTGTGCTTAAGAACAACTTACTGATTATCTAGTGGGAAAATAAATGAAGACTGCCAGTGGAATGACAGAGTACCACCCAGTCTTTCTGTGCCCACTGCTGCTAAAGTCAATGTTCAGAACTGATTAGGGGTTAATATTTAATTACCTGGAGAAATGATCACATTTTCTACATTACACAACCTCCAGAGGTGGTTTTCCATGAAGATTGCTTCATGGTCTTTTTGTCTGAGTTCTCATGTAAAAAGATGAAAGCTAAGAGTATATCCTTCTGCCTATCAGAATTAAGTGCTTTTCAATGTCACAGATGAAAGACAATGCATGCTGTTAGGAATCATGTACTTTTGTGCACAGGCTATATAGCTTTTGGCAAGTAAGGTGAATGCTCACAGCCTTAATTAGAAGGCTAGTTATTTATAAAATAGTGACAATAATACATCACAAGACTGTTGTGACAGTGTTTTGGTAAAACGTGTGGTGTACAGAAAGCACCCAATAAATGCTTAAGGTCTGTCATGTTTTTTCTTTCAGTGCTCCATCTACAACTTCTTTTCGGCAAACAATATATTTACACATCCAGATTTAGAAGAAAACAATGTTAGGGACAAGATGTCCCGCAGATCAGCTCTGCATGGTAGTGAGATATGGAACCAGGTTTGCCTCCTCCCAGAAAAATTTCCAGTGCTCCTCCATTCTCCTCCAACATCTTATCCCTGAGGCAAACTACTTGTGAGGTGATCACCTGGGGAATTAAGCAAAAGGATTCTTCCATAAAGGTTATAGAGGCCCTAGTTCAGGATGTCACATTCACTAGGGGGCGATTCCCTTGAGAAAAGTCTCCAGCCATTTCTCCCCCTTTTTTTAATCTCTTTCCTTGCTAAAAGCAGACGACAGGAGATCAAACTGAATGGAATTCCATGACATATTGGACCCATAACACACAGACAGCCTACATACACCTCACTGGCCTGGATCCAATGAGCATCTGCCTTGAGAAAAGGTGCCTGCCATTTTTCCTGGTCAGCCTGGACCCAACTCTGTCAGTGTGAATCTGTTATCTCAAAAGGAGAGTGCCACACACCACAAACCCACCCAAGAACATAATCCAGTGCAGCTAATTGGCAGATTGCACCCCCTCACCAAGAAAACTGAAAGCCATGGGCAGTGAATATAATTCACCACTGTCAGCAGGTGAACCAACCTCAGAGAGCAGGGGCAGAATGAGAAGCCAACTGCCCAGAGCAGGGACATGGCAAATCATTGAGCCTATCTCTTGGGACTGTGGGCAGAGTACAACATTGAGTTTGTCAGGAGAGGAGCTGACCAACCAGAGTTTCAACTGTAGAGCAACTCAGCTACCACCTGATGAAAACAGTAACATTTCTACCACCTTGAACACAATCTGGTTCAAGGTTAGCAACCACAGACTTCAACTGCAACCTACCTTATGGGCAGAAGGGACCAATGAACGCTCACAAACCAGCCTTCTGGTGAAACCACTTCAGAGATACTGCTTGCACCAGATGACCCATCAGACCAAGGGAACACAGGACTCCAAACCCCCAAACTGACTCCCCACCTAAGCTGCCCAAGAAAGAGGGGCAGCATCCTTCACCACACAGCCCACACACCAACCTCAAGAAAGACAGGGACACTGAGAAAGCTCCAGTCATAGCACCAGTACCAGGATTTGATGCCAAAGGAATAAGTCCAGAACTTTTGCAGAACTGATTTTTTTCTACTTTATTCCACTTTTTATTTTTATTATTTTTCTTCCCTTTTTATTTAATATTTTAAATTTTATTACTAACATTTTCTTATCTTTTATTCTTCCTCCCTTCACTTTCTCTCCTTTTCTTCTCCTACAATCCATGTTCTCCCCCACCAACTATTTTTTTCTGTTCCTTTTCATCTATTCTCTCCTGCATCTTCACCTCTCCTCCTTGCCTCCTCCTGTCTTTCACCCCACACTTACCACTTTCTGACTTGTCTACTGTACCAACCCTACACACTCCTATCCCTCTGCAATACCTGACACAAGTACCCTCCACTACAACAACTAAACTACACCCTAAAACACACAAGGGCCCTAAAACCCTATATCCCCCACACCTCTTTCACCCTCACCCCATCTTTCCCCCCAGCACCATCATTTTTAATTACCTAACTATCCATCTCTATCCAAAAAACACCCACTTCTTATAAATAATCTCACCAATGGGCTCTCTATATATTATGTAAACAAATGATCTGACATTAAATGTATGAATTTGTTATTGCTAATTTATACCTCCAGGTCAGGGACAGAAATAACATGTTAACCTAGCAAATGATTAAGCTTATCAAAACACAGTAATTAAGTCAAGGGAAAGATAGCAGGTGATTAAAATCCCCAACCAACCAATCAATAACATAGGAGCAAGGCACAAAATAGAAGCATGGGGAAAAGAAGAAGGCAAAAGACCAATAATTCAATAGAGGATTTAATGGGAAATGAAGAAAATGAATACCCAGTTACAGACCCCAAAAGAATGATGATAAATATGTCCAATGAGTTCAATGATGTCTATAAAGACTTGCTCAAAGGGGAAATCAAGAATGAGCTCTTTGAGATATTCATGGAGAAGCTTCAAGAGAAGGTTAAAGCGAACATACAAAATCAACTCAAAGAATATCAAGACAACACAAATGAAAAACTTCAGATGCAGAAACAACTAAATGAACTCAGAGAGACTTCAACAAACTTCAAAATGAAATAAATGTGAGTATAAAAAAGAGATACAAGAAATAAAGAAGACAGCACAAGATATGAAAGAGGAATTTAACAAATATACAGAAAACCTCAGAAATGAGAATCAAACAGAAATCCTGGAAATAAAAAGTTCCTTAAATCAAATAAAAAATACAGTTGAAAGCCATTCCAGCAGACTAGAACAAGTGGAAAACAGAATCTCAGGGCTTGAAGAAAAAATAGATATTAAAGAAAAAACAGAATTCTTAGACAAAATGCTCAAGAGCTGTGAAAGGAATATGCAAGAACTCAGATTCCATCAAGAGACCAAACTGGCAAATCATGGGTATCAAAGAAGGAGAAGAGTTGCAAGCCAATAGTATATGTAATATATTCAACAAAATAATAGAAAATTCCCCAAATCTCAAGTAAGAGATGCTCATTCAGGTACAGAAAGCATCCAGGACCCCAAACAGACATAACCAAAACAGAACCTCTTCAGGGCATATTATCATTAAAACAACTAGCACAAAGAACAGAGAAAGAATATTGAAGGCTGTAAGAAAGAAAAAACAAATAATATATAAAGGTAAATTCATCAAACAAAAGCAGGCTTCTCAAGTAAAACCTTAAAAGCAAGAAGGGCATAGAGTGAGGTATTTTAAGCACTGAAAGAAAATGATTTCAGTCCTAGGATACTCTACCCAGCAAAACCATCATTCAAAATTGATGGAGGAATAAAAATCTTCCATGATAAACAAAAACTAAAACAATATATGCCACCAAACCACCACTACAGAAGATTCTGAAATGAATCCTACACACAGAAGAGGAAAACAAACATAACCATGAAAGGACAGGAAGTTTTAAACCTCATGAGAAGAAAAGATAAGTACTCAGGAAGTAGCATTGAATCAGCTGAAAATATTCAACTCCTTAAACAACAAAATGGTAGGAATCACCACATACCTCTCAGTATTAACACTGAATGTTAATGGACTCAATTCTCCCATCAAAAGACATCACTTGGCAAACTGTTTTAAAAAGGAAGACTCCACAATCTGTTGTTTACAAGAAACAGACCTTATTACCAGAAACAAACACTGTCTTAGGGTGAAAGGGTAGAAAAAGATTTAGCAAACTAATGGCCCCTGAAAACAGGCAGGAGTATCAATATGTATGTCAGATGAACTGGACTTCACACCTAAACTAGCCAAAAGAGACAAGAAAGGTACTTCATATAATAAAAAGAGCAATACATCAAGAGGAAATAACAATTATCAACTTATTGCACTTAATGTCAGTGCTCCGAATTTCATTAAACATACATTAAAAGACTTAAAATCACAGACATACCCCAGCACAGTGGTAGTGGGAGATTTTAATACTCTTCTATCACCAATAGATAGGTCATCCAAACAAAAAATTCTAGAGCTGAATGACACTATAGATATAATGAAACTGAC